GTGCATGAGCACCGGGTGATTGACTTCACTCATGTGCCTTTGAGTGTTGGATGTTCTGTGTTTAATTCTGATCTCATGTTTTGATTTTTTTTCTTCCTTTTTTCACTTGTATTAAGAGTCTAGAGGCTTCTGGTATTGGAGAGAGCTACACAGAAGACCTGCCGACTTTCAGCCTGTCACCGCAGGAATATATCACAAATGTTAGTCAAGTTTAAATCCAAGCTTATAATTTATAACATTGTGCCAAATAGACATGCTTATTTATAGATATGGTATACCACTGTTAAAAAGACAAGGTGTGAAAACAGCTACATTCTTTGTCACACAACAGTTTAAAACAAGATAACCAATAACTGATAATTGCAACAAGCAATAACTCAGCTAATTAGTTAATCTACTTATTAGGCTCTCATCATTACTGTAAAGAATAATAATTATGTACAGTGACTCTAGCATAAATAAATTGATTTTAGTTTGCCACCTGTGTATATTCTAGACCTGCTAAAATGATCATATCTTCAGAATGAGRTTTGTGTAGCAGTGAACTGCAGTGAATGTGATTGTGTTTTATTCCATGTTCTATGTTTTCCCCTTCATAGATAGGACAGTACCTGATGTCTCTGCCTCTTCACTTGGAGCCTTTTGTGACACAGGAGGACCCTGCATTAGAGATGGCCTTACATGCTGGGAAACTGCCTTTTCCTCCAGAGCAAGGTTACTGATACATCRGTCCTGATTGTGTTTTTAGTTTTCATCTTGGTTGACTCTTYCATTGTGTCACAAGTTATTGCTCCTTGCGCCTTTCTTAAAGGGATCCACCTTTAGTTGTAACATTAGACTTTATTTGATAAATATWTATTTTAACTGTAAAATAAAGACCGTAAAAATACTGTAGGCTATTTAGTTTTTATAATTTTTAAACTAAAAGTTTAAAAATCCCATTACACAGACGGGGCCATTTTATTTTTACGCAAAGCATTCTGGGTAAATGATGACGTGGATAGGTCCTCGGTGCGAGGCTGCTAGCGAGCTATATCCACCCTGAAGGTTAATCTTGGACAAAATCTAACGATTGACTCTTTTAAATGAAACCAGAGAGGAGAAGGTAGAAATGACTCAGCCTGTAACTGAAAATATGGATGGAGGACAACAGAGCTGCTTGATGGAAGAAGAACCTCAGCTTAGCCTGTTAGCTTTAGCGTTAGCTTCAAAGCTATCGCCATATATACAGTATGTATTAGCTCAGCGCTACACATTCTCCTCTCGTCACTGAGGTCCTCCATCCACATGACAGAGAGGGGAAYRYAAAAATGACTCAGCCTGCAACTGAAAATATGGATGGAGGACCTCAGTTTAGCTTGTTCGTCGCACTAGCGCCGAGCTAATACAYATAAGGYAATATAGTGTTGACACTAGCGCAAAGGCTAACAGGCTAAGCTGAGGTTCTTCTTCCATGAAGCAGCTCTGTTGTCCTCCATCCATATTTTGAGTTACAGGCTGAGTCATTTCTACCTTCTCCTCTCTGTCAACGCTCTCTGGTTTAATTTAAAAGAGTCGATCATCAGATATTGTCCAAGATTAACCTGCAGGGTGGATATAGCTCGCTAGCAGCCTCGCACCGAGGACCTATCCACGTCATCATTTACCCAGAATGCTTTGTGTATAAATAAAATGGCCCCGTCCGTGTTAAAATATATTTTTAAAAATTTACAAAACTAAACAGCCTACAGTATTTTTACAGTCTTTATTTTACAGTTAAAATAAATGTTGATCAAATAAAGTCTAATGTTACAACTAATCAGGGATCCCTTTAAAATCTGCCTTCCTTTTTCCTCAGGAGACGACCTTCCTGAGCTGGACAACACAGCTGACTACTGGCTAGGCTCCATTGCCAGGGCAACTATGCAGACCTACTGCGATGCTATTTTGCTAATCCCCCAGCTGACCCCTCGATTCACCAAACAGCTGGCCACAGATATCGGTACGGCAAACGAACCAACTGTTTTGTCACGCATTTTAATCGAAAGTTGGGTATGGATTTAATCCGGTTTGCTCTCCGCAGACTATCTGAGCAACGTGATGGATGCTCTGGGCCTGCAGCCGTCACGCACCCTCCAACATATCGTCACCCTGCTGAGGGCTAAACCCGAAGACTACAGACAGACGGCCAAACTGCTGCCCCGACGCCTGGCCTCCACCGTCGCCGCGTTCCGAAGCATCGATTACTAACACCACAAGGGACGAAGAAAGCCTCTGCAGGAAGAGTGGTTCTCTGAGTGGCAGCAGAGACTTCCTGTGATGTAAGCAAACAGAACAATGGGACATAAATAGAAGCAGGTTTACAGGTTCCAGCACAGATGGTTCTTACTGAAGGGTTCTCCTGCACAGATAAGTGTTCATGTTCAAACACTCAGATCAGGATGTGTCTGCCTTTTTTACATTTTCCCTTGATTTTTTATTTTCTTTGCTGAGTTTTACTTTAATAACGTGTCGTCATTATTGTCATTCAGGTTTTTCTAGTTCCTGCGTTTCTATTAAGGGGAGGGACTGTTTCAGTGTATATGCCATCTGTATAAACATATTTGATTAATTTTGTTGTGCTAAAGTAATCCAAGCTAATAAATGATTCAAAGGTGATATTTATCCGAGCTGTGTTGGTTTTTATTAATGGGGCACCATTTTCAGGGAACGCATAAAAATAAATAGGGAGAGGGTCTAACTGTCATGACTGAGATTTTTTTTTCCCTTTTGTTTTCATCAAATGTAAAAAAAAGTTTCTATAAAATTCTAATAACACTATTGTAGCCTCTTGTTTTTAATGTGGCAATTGGAAGCACTTTATTTTAATTGTTATTAACATTTTTGCAAAAAGTTTTATTTTAACGGTTGTGGGAACCTTCATATTAACACAAAAGTAAGGCTTAAGGCAGAGAAAAAAAACTTTTTGGACATGGAGTTAAAGTTATATTTGAAAGTAAATTATATTTACAAATATTGTGTTAATATTTAGACTTTAATAACTGCAATTTTTTGGTACAGTATTTCTTCCATCAAACTTGACAACATTTTGAAAAAAATAAATATGAGCAAATATTGTTCGCAGGTGATAATTAAAGGTGGTTAAAATCTCTAAATATTAATGCATCTAACAGATTAAAAAAACTATTTTGGTTGTCTAGTGCAGTGGTTCCCAAACTTTTTATCTTCTGACCCACAAAATATTCATGGCAAAAACTTGTGACCCCAAATATTAC